AGAACTATCTCAGTAAGCATTCAAATGCGCAAATAAGCTTGAGGTCAGGTGAGTGAATGAAAAGTAAAGGATAGAATGAATGTACTGTGATAGTTGAAACATTGTACAAAAGCCGACGCCGGCCCCTACATATTTTCACCCCTTCTAAGTGTGGTGTCACAAACCGGATTGGGTCTTGTGTTTGATTACAAAGTATGTGGACAAATGAATATGCGTATACAGTCAAACGATGGTCAACGGAGCACCAGTAGGCAACCGGTGGTCGGAGTCTATATGGTGGTACGGAAAAGTAAGGAACTAAAGGACTTGAGTTCGCAGGTAAATGAACAAAAATCAAAACGTATCAGCAGTACGGTTGTAGTCGGTATTAGTAATTCGCCACCATTTAACTGCAAACGGGTGTTAACAGAGCGCCTAGGGTGCAGAGGTTGGGGGCCAGATAACCGCGTCACGACAAATCGTACCCAGAAGCAACAGACAACACAAGCGCAAGGAGCCTACAACTAGAGACAAAAATGAATGATTAGACAGGATGACTTAGTTGGCAGCTGTGTATCGGCTGCGTAGGAAAAAACTGAGCAAAGCTGAACGGTCTTAGAAATGGGCAGTAGATGCAACAGTGGTCGTCTTCGTAAGCCGATAACGGCCAAATGGCAGTCGAGTAGTAGCGGTAGGTAAGAATAGCACAACAAGCGGACGGTGAGGTCAGCCTCAGGCAATAGCCCTTCGAAATTCGAAAGTTAACGCAATAGTGCAACAATCAACAACAGTAGTGCATCAGTCATTTGAAATGATGCTTCGCTGCCATACAACCATAACGACCTACGGAACGACGATTGGTAACAGAGAGAAAAACAGGGAACTTACCTGAAAACCCTAACGTCCCAAGCATACATTCAGGGTCAAGATGCCTACACCTTGCGTAGACAACATACCGTCACAAACAGCTGGCTATCGTGCAATGATAAGTCGGAATCAGTGAGACAACTTTGTTGCGGCTTTCACTGCCACGCGTCATAATCAGCCATTAACCCGCAGATAACTCAGCAACAAACACACTTTAAACAGGCAATCCAATTAGAAGACGGCAGCAGACGCGCCACTGCTGTCTACTGCGAGCCATGTCCTGCAAAGTCTCAAGCCAAGCAAAAGGCGAGTCATGTGGACTCCAGCCCGGAAGGCGAGACGGACCAACGGCACCCAATTTGGTCGTCAGTGACTTCATTTCCAACTGCCAAGTCAATTTCTATCCCCCTCGAGCTTTGCGCCACCCTACACCTGGCAGACTAAACAAGGCCCTCCTAGGTAAACGGTGACCAAGCACACGTAGCACGTGCCCGAGCCAACAAAACTTATTCAGTGCTATCTGTTGTTCTAGGGAGCTAACATGATTAACAATAACTAGTACTCGCCTACGCACATCATCATTGCGGACACGCTGACGCTATCCGATTCTAGCAATGCTTCAGACAACGGTGATCAAAGACTTGAAGGCGCCTCAGATCTTCAGACCGAAGGGGCCAAGTCACACTACCATAGAACAGAACGGCCTTCACTGTGGCCTTGTAGACCCGGCCTTTCAGACGAAGGGAAACTCCCTTCTGTCGCCAAAGATGCCGCAGGCTCAAGAAGGTAGCTCCGGCTTTTGCAATGCGTGAGCTGACGTCAGTTTCTATGCGCCCATCATTGCTGACGCAGCTGCCAAGATAAGTGAAATGATCAACCACCTCGAGTTCCTAGTTAAAAAGCGTCAAGGGGTCACAAAGTGCCTGGTGGTCCTGCAGCAACACTTTGCACTTCGAAGGTGCGAAGTGCATACCAAATAATGGGACCACTACAGAGAGGCTATTCAGGGTTGATTGTGCCGCCGCAACATCGTCGAAATGCAAGACGATATCGTCCGCATAAGCACGATCAAGTAAGCGTTCACCAGGAAGCATTTCAACGCCTAGATCGTGAGATTCCGCAAGGGAACATACCATGATAGAACCCACGACGAAATTGAACAAAAATGGGAAAATCAGACAAGCCTGACGAACGCCACTTGTGGTCCGAAAGCTATCCGATAGGCCACCGTAGACCCTGACGCGGCCTGTAGTGTACGAGTATAGAGCATGTAGGATGTTCACATATTTCGTTGGAACACATTTCCGCGCAAGTATTTCGAACGGAATCGAACGCACTCTTGAAATCGAGGAACACAGCTACTGTCTGTCGGCGGTATGCGTGGCGCTGCTCTATCACTTGCCGCAGTGTGGATATATGGCCTATACAGCCAAGCCATAGGCGGAAACCGGCCTGCTCTTCCTACTAAGAGATTCCCATTCCACAGTGAGGCGACGAACGATAATCGAGGCCAGTAATTTTGTCACAACTGGCGTTAAGCTAAAGCCCCTGCGGTTAGCACAGTATATTGTCACTATATTCGATTCACTCCAGTTATTCGGGACACTCTCTTCCCTCCAGATATGTTCGAATACGGAGGTCAGTGCTTTGCAGAGGACCTCATTTCCATCCTTAAATTGTGCAGGTGGGAGGGAATCCGGGCCAAAAGTACGACAATGATTGAGGGCTGTGATCGAGTTTCGGAACTGAGTCTCCAACAGAGTCCCTAAACTAACCATCCATGGCTCATCCTGCATCACCTGAATAGGAAGAGGTACGGAAGTAGGGAGCCAACTGAACTGATTTTGAGAGTGTTCCGCCCAACGAGCTATACGGCGCTCCTTGGTGTGAATCAGAGTACTGGCGTTGTCGCCAATTGTTTTGCCGACGCCTGATTTCTTGTGACCAGTGGCGTGGATTAACTGGAGGAGCTTCCGTTAACTGCCTACTGCTCCCGCCTTCCCCATTTCTCCAGCCCAACTGGTCCACTAGGCTTCCTTGGCAAAACGCAGACTCCCCTTTAGTTCGCGCCTAATAGTCAGTGTGGTCACATTGCGTTCAGAGCCAGCCAGAAATTTACTTCTGGATTCCAATAGGTACACTGACCTCTCGGATATCCAATGACTGGTGCGGTGACGATGGATAGTGCCACAAGCAAAGGCTACTGCGTCATGCATGGCGGCAGAGATCCTATTCCACTGGAGCTCAGGGTCATTAGAATAAGACAGCGAGAGTTCGTTATGCAGTGCTTCTTGATAGGCTTGCCTGACAGAGGGCTGGGACAATTTCTCCGTTGCCAATTGGAGGAGACGCTGGGTGCGCCTTCCGGTAAAGTTAATGATCAAACAACAGCACACCAAGGCATGATCAGAGTCGACACAGGTACCCCAGTATGAGCGGCAATCCAGGATGCAACTACGCGACTAGGAACTTGTAGTAATGTGGTTAATTTTGGTCCATTGCTGGTGAGCTACAGGAGGACGCCAAGTGGCACTTCGGCGTCTACTGTGTTTAAAAGCAGTGCTACTAAGAAACAACTGGTGCTTCGCACACAGTTGCAGCAGACGCTCACCGTTGTCAATCCGTTCGGAGTTAAGTCCACAATTACCACCCAGCTGAGCTACTGAAGAGCTCAGACACCATACTTGTGCGTTCACAACCCCTGCAAGTGCTATAATATCTGAACTAGTAGCATTGAGTAGTAGCGCGCTCCGTTCGTGATAGAATGTGTCCTTGATAGCGTTAGAATTGCAGTCGGTGGGAGCATAAACGGAAATCACAAACAAACAGTGTTTTGTACTAGTTCGTAAATCAACCTCAGCTGATGTCATCAAACGGGCTGACATAAACGGCTGTTCACCGGAATCCAATCAACCAACGATGGCTCAGCCTTGGGGCTATGAATAATACGTACACCAGCTTGACCCATGAGTGTTGCATCAGCGTCTCCGGATGCGTGCAACCAATAGCGAGAGGACAAGCCCGGCGCATTTAACTCAACAACCCGATTAAGGTCATTGATGCTAGTTTCGGACACACACATGTCAATACCCAGTGTGTCCAACATGCTTGCGAGTGCAGCCTGTTGACCTATTTGTGATAGAATGCGAACGCTGAACGCCGCCAGGGAAATGGGACAGTGTGGCCTTATAAAAGACTGTTGCCGATAGGCGTCCAGTGGGTGTTGCGGGAAGGTGGTTGCAGATGGTTCTACTCCAGTGGCATTTCGGTTGCTGTCAATTAAGCTGGGAATTATAGAAGGAAGGTTAGTAATGGGGGTCAGGATGGGAGTAAGAGAAAAAGGTGGAAGAAAGAAGGGAGGCGCCAGCAGTAGCATGTCTTCGCTTATCGGTCCTGCTGTATGCAGCAGATAAGGCGACCCTTGATAATCTGAGCGACGGCCGATGCAGGATGAAGTTTATGTTTGAAGAAAATGTCATGGTTGTATGTGGGCTGAGATACTTCCAGGGCGCCCAGACCTAGACAGGAGGACGATTAGGGTCCTCATCTAAAGCCTTGGGCTCGAAAGCCTGTCCGCAAGGCAGTCGGGAGGTGGCAATGATTTAGTTTTACAGAAATGGACGCCATCACATTTCAAACCCCCAACCTAGAGGATCAGGAGACTGAGTTTGTCTGACATCTAACCACTGACCAACCTGATAGAAGTAGCGCTCAAGGGGACGGAAGCACCACCCAGTATAGCTCTTTGGGTCAAAGAGGTACGGAAACCGTCGCACCACGTGAAGGTCCAGTCTCGTTGCAACGCAATAGTGCAGCAAAGGTGTACCTCATGATTGATGCTACATCAACATTAAAAGGCGAAAAGGTCAGGTTGTTCACGGTCGGAGAATAATCGTACACACGTCATTATTCTATATGCGAATATGATATGCTCGGTACGAATAATACACCTGGTTGCTTCCATCGACTGATTAAAGTAGAATACCTAGCCACAAGAGTGGCAAGGCCAAGTACTAGAGTCATAAAGGAGTTAAATATCCATACTGCAAAGCAACTGCTGGATACTGGTCGGAAATCATCATGCCGTACATCCGAACAAGAACGTCACGCGAGTCATGAGTATATAGCGACTGAAACGAATGGATAAACACGCCATAAGGAATTTGTGAGTATAATGGCGAGTAGCAACGGAGTTCGAAAAAATGTGTTAGCTTTGAATAAGCAAAAACAGAACTCTCGGCTTTGATAACTGCGTACTCGGGTAGCGGATGGATTGGACTGGAGGAAGGTCGCTGTTCCCGTTCCATGAGGAGTCGGTCAAGATCTGGATAACTAATTTCATCCAAGGCCAGGGTAGAAGGTATGGGTGGGAGACTGAGCCGGCGATCAATCGGAACCAAATCAAGGTCAGCTAAATTAGAAAAAGATACCAGTTGATCCAGATTAGTGTTTTACACTTTACAGTAGAGCGTAGAGATAAAGGTAGCAAAGGAAGCAAGATTGCAAGAAAAAGGTGAGTTCGGTTATCGACAAATACTGAAGTGAGTGAGTTGACTGTTCTATCAAGAAAATGATTCCAGTTCTCTCAGTTGCAAAGAATTCTAACTAAATACGGCAAAAAGTGCGACGGGTATCGCAACACAAAAGCCAAAGGAATGATGGTGATTGATTCAAAAGCTGCGAACACGTTGTAAAGACGTAACATCCCGCTTCGGGAAACGATGGCAAAGCAGTGCAGGGAAGTTGGTGGACATGGAAGAAAAATAATTGGCACCATTTCTGGATAAAAATGCACGTTACTTGGTGCAGTCGAGCGCATTAAAACTTGTTTCGATGAAATACACGATGGATCATCATCTGCCATCATACATGGTGCCATTTGGCAACGATGGCGCTTAAAGGCAGGAAGAGATTTAGAGTCTAAGATAACCCGTGTCATGGGAGATAGCTGAGGGGAAAATGTGTTCCGTCTATCGAATCAAGCGAAAGTAGACACTCAAGATCACCAGTCACGCAAGCTGCTCAAAAGTTGTCCGTGAAGTGAAGTGTGATGAAGGTGGTTGTGTTTGCTTAGGTTACTTTATAGAGGTAAGTAAAAGGACGGCGAATAAAGGGTAAAATTGGGCAAAAGGAACATTAAGAACGAGGGAAATAGGAATTAAGGACTGGAGGTTAGATAGTGGACGAATAAGCGCCACCGAGTTCGTTACGACGCGAAATCCGACGGGGATTCTGAACACTGAGGTGGTCAGTCATCAGACTCCCAGTTAAGAAGAGGACAACAGCTAATCATACTCCGTTTTGCAATTACAAACTTCGTGTGTAATTTTCACAGCATCGGATAATCGCTTCCGAGTATCAAGAGATTTACACAATTTCTAATTTATTCTACCCTAACAGACATTCCGATTCGACGCCATGTGGCCCATTGTCAAACACCAAATGATTAGTTTTTAGTCGTTCAATTAGCCCATTAGATAAGAGCAATGCTAAGTGAACAGCGGTGGCAAAACATGGCGTCGCACAATGTCCTCAGCGGGCAGTGACTAGGTTCTGATTCATACACCAGAAGCACCATAAGTCTGTAGACCATACCGTTGACGATGAAGCCCATGCCCTGTAGTGTCCGAAAGTGGCTAGAGCTATGAGGACTCATAGGAAGCCTGCAATGCGTACCGCTGCCTCTTTTGTGATGCGACCACAGTGGGTGAACGACCAACCACATGCAGTAGTAGCCGCGTGGCATAAAGTGGCGATCCGGTCACTATGAAGCTTCGCACCACCAAAAGACAAGTCAATGATTCCTTCGGACATCTTCAAAATCTCAATCAAATTATCCCAACTGAATAGGTCATGTTTGATTGACGTATAAGTGTCAGCCACTAATGTGTGCCTGAGAATGAAGAACGCAATTATCAGTTGACTAAACCAGCAAATTTCGACAGTGGTGAGTCACCGCTGCCGAGTGTGGGGTATGTCGGACACAAGTGTCCACAAACTTCATAAGGTTTTGTCGATGAAAAATTATGCCTGACAAGGCTTAAAAAATAGCTGGAGGAGTTTTGCAACCTTAATAACAAACGATATGCAAATAGTGGTTAGTTCATCAAAGAGCGCAAACCGAAATTTTGATAAAATAACGAAATAATGTTCATGTCAACTGGAAAGTTATATGAGAATCACTTTGAAACGACTGCCCTTCATACCTGGACAGCGGTAGGTACTGGTTTCGTCAAAACAACAGCTTACCAAAGATCGACATAGTCCGGTCAAAAATGCAATTCCAAAGCTTCATACTGATAGGAGAAGACAAGCGTGCGATGATGGAAACATTTTTAACTCAAGCCAGATATCTTTGTTCGAGTAAATGTGAGTTATCGACATTTCTATCCAAAGCACCTATACACGCATTATATACATGAATGCGTAAAAATAAGAACTCCGGATTGGAACATTCTAAACATCATGAACCTGATTAGTGCCCTTCAAGTAAGGGTAGTATAAAGTTAACCGGAATTGGCAGTCGTGTGGATCTCAGGGGAACTGAGGTCACGGGTATGACCTTATGGTTGATTGGCACATGTGATAGGAAACTTATGGATACGCAGTGATTAGCCCCCTGAATCACTAGTTACAAGACGGTTTTGTAACACACCATATTAAAAACGAGGGGTGAACGTAAAAATTACTATTGACGGTGGTGAAAACAATTTTTCGGATTTGTACACATTTTCACGAAGCCAGATAGAAGTGGCGATTGAGACGGAAGCCAGATAACTCATTTTATGGTTGTTAAAGTAACCCGCCCACAAAAGCAACTGAAGCCCATTCCCGTGGCCGGTATGTTTAGCAGGGGTTTGGACCAACTCGACATGAGTCCCGTTTCCTAAAAGCAACTAGTAACTGCACTCTTGGCTCGGAGCCATCCAATGAGAGCATTTAAACGACCTCTGGTGGTACGAGACCTCCAACTATGTAATCAGTTACTTGCCTGTGAACAACGCTGCATTTTCTGGGCTTAATTGAAGACTATTTTAACGTAGTTGTCTTCTGATTTAGGAACCGTGTGGTCAGAAATTCGGAATAGCTATGTCGGTTATCCGAGCTATCAGCGGAAACAAGACAGTGATAGTAAAGATCGTAGCACTCCAGGTGAGACCAACTTCGTACATCGGTCTAAAAAACGGACGAAGTTCAAATTCAAAATTGAGAATTGCTTTGTTCATTTTCCCCATTTTTGTTTAACTTCAGTGTGGACGCCATCATGGAGTGTTCCCTTGCGGAATCTCACGATACAGGCCTTGAGGTGGTATCTGGTCAAACACTTTTTGGACTTGATCATGCATACGATATTGGCTTGTTGTTTAACGATGATAAGGCGGTGCAATCAACCCTGAATAACTTCTTTAGAGTGGTCCCATTATTTGGTATACGCGTCACACCAAACTGCAAAATGCTGCTGCAGGACCACCAGCAACTTGATGACCCATTGACCCTTGATAACGAAGAAATCGAGGTAGCTGATCAATTCACTTAACTTGGCAGCTGCATTAGACATGATGGGCGCATAACGATTAAATTCAGTTCCTGCATTTCAGAAGCTAGAACTACCTTCTGGAAACCGCGACATGTTTAGCGCCAGAAAGGAGTTTCCCTCGGTCTAAAAGGCCACATTTTCGAGGGCACAGCGAGGGCCATGCTATTCTATGGGAGTGAGACTTGGCTCCTTCCATCTGAGGATCTAAGGCGACTTCAATTCTTTAATTCTCGCTGTCTGCGGAGCACTGCTAGTATCAGATGGCACCAGCGTGTCCGCAACAACAGTGTGCGTATGTGAGTGCTAGACAGCGATAAGCAAGCTAGTTCCCTAGAACACATGGCACTGAATAAGTTGTGTTGGCTTGGACATGTGCTTCGTACGCCCGGTCACCGCTTACCGAGGAGGGTCTTGTTTTGTTTGCCAGATGTAGGGTGGCGCAAGCCTTGAAGTGGTCAAAAACTAACTTGGTAGGGGAAATGGTCACTGATGACCAAAGTTGGTGATGTCGGTCCGCTTTGCCGTCCAGACTGGAGTCTACGTGACTCGCCTTGTGCTTGGTTTGAGACCTTACAGGATATGGCTCGCAATCAACACCAGTGGAGCGTCTGCTGCCGTCTCCTAGTCCGACTGCCAGTTAAAAGTGCATTTGGTGCTGAGTTATCTGTGGGATAATGGCTGATTATGACGAGCGGCAGTAAAAGCCGCAAGGAAATTGTCTCACTGACTCCGACTTATCATTGCACGATAGCCAGCTGTTTGTGACAGTATGCTGTTGACAAGGTATAGAGACTGACCCTGAATGTCTGCTTAGGGCGTTAGGGTTTTCAGGTAAGTCACCTTTCTCTCCCTGTTAGTAATCATCGCTCCGTAGATTGTTGTGGTTGTATGGCAGCGAAGCATCGGTTTAAATGACTGAGGTACTGCTGTTGATGATGATGATAAGTTACGATGGTTACGTAATGTAGTAACCATTTCCATCTTCAGTGCCACGTGAGACCACCAGACTTCCCGGTATCGCTTCAGCCTGGCACGCAATTTGCCTAGAAATCTCTGAAGGTCTCCTTGTGTTCGTTTCCAGTCGGAACACGTCGGCCAGCATCCAGACGTTTCAGAGACGAAATGTCCAGGATGGCAATTGGATCTGCCACATGAAGACATGCCTGCTGCCAATAACGTGTGGTGGATATGCGACTAGTGACTTTCAACTGTGCTTAGTGAACACTTACTAAACCCGCATGCTAGTTGGCTAGCGTCTATGTTTTCACAGCATCGCCTTAGGCGTCCACCGAAGTGAGCTCGGAGATCGGCACACCCAAGTGCATGGTCGGAGTCCATGCTCGTGCTCCAAACCAAGTGACAGTTTTAGACATAGCTTCTCTAGTGGTATCTGATCACGATGTGATCGATTAGCATCTACGGTTGGTGAGCGCCACGTGACCCTTCTGCTGGTGCTGTGTCAGAAGTTAGTGTTCGCAAGAAGGAGATGAGCATCTTCACGCAGATGTAGCGATCTCTCACCGTTATCAGTATGAGAGCCTACGCCATGTTGGCCGACTAGAGGCAGCTCATCAGTGAACAGATTTCTAACTTGGGCGTTCAGAACACCAGAGAGTACCGGAGTATTCGCACTTTCTGTAACGAAGGAGCGCGTTCAGCTGGTGATAGAAGTCATCCCTCGCCGAATCACCTCTACCGTTTGCGAGTGTGTAGGCAGAAGTAGCACACAGGTGCCGTTTGTCCCTGCGCGACTTCGATACTTTGGACGAGCTAGTCAATCTGACGGTGCACATCCAGCTATTTGTTGTAATCCAATCGATCAAGGAAACTTAAGTCCCAGGACTCAGAGCAATGCCCAAACCGACTTGACCGGTATTCGAAGCTGCGTCATTTCCGGACAAGCATAGGTAGAAAAAACACCGCCAGTGCCGCACTTTAGTGATAGCAAGGTGAGCGTAGCTCGAAAAATGCAGGCGTTTTCGAAAAACAGCAAATATTGACTGTTGGGGTCACTACTGTTCGAGTAAGTGTTGTCAGTTGGCCAGTTTGCAATAAACTGCGCCAGTTGTATCGAGGAATGGGGGCTCCAAATAGAAACGGATGAACCAATGTTGTCCGCTCGGTTGAACATGGACTTGTCAACCGGACCGGAGCGACGCCCTGCGATTGCTTGTGAGTGGAAACTAGAAGACAGACGTCTATCACACCAAGATGGAGGAGGCCCGAGATTTGGGATTATAAACAGGGGGGATAAAATTGAAGGGATGATAAGGATGAAAAAGCACGAGAATCAGATAAAAGGCGGAAAGCCCTGATTCGTAGCATCCTTACGTCTATCCCTCCTGCTCAATGGAACAGACATGACGCCGTTGATTATCCTCTAAGACCGCTGGAGCATCAAGAAAATGTACTGCGTGGGCAAGCTAGTGTCAAGTTGCCCTGTCCAAGGCAGGAGGACAAGTGGAGTACTCAACTCAAATCTAGTTCAAAAATCGGACCGCTAATCAGCGGGATTTTGGCACTGCAATGAGTAGGGAGCCACTCTCACTGTAACTCGAAACGTAGAGGGTTCGGAGACTGAGTTGGTCTGGCCTCTAACCGTTGAACAATCTGACCTAACTGGCTCTGAAGGTGCAGAACGCACTCCCAGCACAGCATAATGGACGGTTAAGGCCCACAAACCAAAGCACCAGTCTCGTCGTAACGGTCGTAAGAAAGAATGGCTCTCAATAAATGTAACCCTGTGTAAATGTATCCGAGCACTCGGAGGATCAAGCACTAATAGCATCATCGAATCGTTAAGCGTCCGATCTGCGTCTGACAGCAGAGTGAAATAGGTATATGTGATGCCGAGTCGTTTGAACTAAAGGCTGTGAGTTTTGTGCGTAAATCTTGACTAGCGATGCTGATTACGTTGGTTTCTCACAATCACGTTGTATGAGCTGCTGCCCAATATTCTCTATAGCAACAAAACGCAATGACATCATGGGACAGTTAAGTGTCCGTAAGATCGTCAGGTAAAAAATGAAAGTTTTCAACTGTATGGGAAAATATCGACTAGTAATGCCAGTGTATCACTAGGTCAACTTTGGGTGGTTTCCTCATGATCGCGTCGTAACAGCTGCTGTCCAATATGTTTCGTAGCTGTAGATGGTGTGCTTTTAATCAACACTAAATGGTTCTGTTGGTTTCTTCAATATCAAATGCTGCTTGAGCGATCATAAGGATGCAGAAATTAATAAAAACGGCTACTTCGAATTTAAGTAAATGTATACTTGCTATCAAATGTGCTTCTGGTGTGTACGAATCCCGCACAAAAATTTGTTCCCTCATGACTTGTTTAAGAAGGGAATCGGACAAACGTGCTAAGAGGGATGGTGGGTAGCGCCCCAAAGACAAATGTTATCTTGTACGTACAATTTTATTGCCGATCGATCGTACAATATTCGCTCATGATTTACTGCTCTTCACCTTCCATCTCAGTCCCATCACACTTGTATGCTGGAGGATTTACTGCGCAAAAAGTTCGCTCCTGCCTCTCTTCATGCATCCACGTCTCTTTGTAGCCCATGAAATACAGTCCGCTGGGTCCGACTTATCTTCTGATATCCCCGCTTGATTATGCGCATCGTCTCGGACTAGCTTTAACTAATCCTATATAGGTAACCCTACGTTATACACAAAAACGACCCTCGTCCCACGGAGAAACGACTAGGGTTCGCGTCAGGATCCTCGTTGATTGCCCCGATCCTCGAAAACATTGCTCGTGTGGGTGGCACATGAAACGGGACGCTCGTTAAGCGGAAGCTTGTTTCGTCCCTGGATCCTGTCCTGTACAAGTGTGGATATCATAAGTCGGACTCAGCGGACTGTACTCCAAGGGCTACAAAGAGACGGGGACGCATGAAGAGAGACAGGAGCGAACTTTTGCGCAGTAAATCGCCGAGCAGACAAGTGTAATGGGACAGAGATGGAAGGTGAAGAGCAGCAAATCATGAGTGAATATTGTACGATCGATCGGCAATAAAATTTTACGTACAAGATAAGATTTGTCTTTGGGGCGCTACAGGTTCACCAGGAGAAGTGTTGATACGACAGTCGTAACATGTACGCGAAATAAGAACCGAAAGCTGCATAACAAAAAGATGGGGAAAAGTCATGCAACTGTTTATAGTGATCACAATAGACATCTTGTAAAAAACGAGGAAAACAATTTTGACAAATAGCTGACCTGTCAATTCAGGCGGTGCAGGTGCATCTTTCATTTCAATAGGCTCAGTAATAAGGATGTGGTCAGGAACTCGCATGTCAGACTCGGGATTCGTCGAAGATGATGACGGCCGCTCTAGCTCCACAGGACCAAAGGAGATACGATGAGGAACTTGCATCTTCTTGCTTATATCCTTGATAAAGTCTATTGGGTGACCAGCTGTTGAATACAAACTATCGATGTCTCTCAACCTATTGCAAAACGTGGATACATAAACAAGACAACTAACATTATGATAAATCCAAAGGAAATTAGGGTGAAGTACGCGTCCGGTCGAAGATGCCGCGGTTTCCGTGCCAAATATGTTAAGTAGGTCTCATTAGACCCGGAAGCTGCAATACAAAACACATGCGGTTGGATGGAATTATCTTAAACACCAATTACGATACCGAGCTAAAACACGTGTTTAACTAGAACCTTGTGAAAGGTTGCAGATGATCTATGGATGTTGTTGTCCAGAAGAGGAGAGATTGATTTGAATGGATGATACGAACAGAGACGGAAGACTGTTAACCAAAAGCTCCGTAGAGTGAAAAGAGTAACAAAAATGCTGAAATAACGATAGCCATCTAGGTGTACTGAATGCCAGTTTATATATCGAATTGCAAAAGAATTAAAAGTTGAGCGCTCGCAACAGACCGTACGGTAGGCATGTAGGCCTTGAGACGACTGTCGATGGCATTTAATGTGTAAAAAAGGATATCACAATATCTGCAGTTGTAAAAGAATTTTTGTTACGATGCATTTATAAAGTTCTGTCTTGCGTCCTAGACGCAGTATACTACGAAACTAATTCACACTTCCTATCGTCTAAGTTCAAGTTCAATTGGAACCAGAACAAGTGGATAACCTTGTGAATGTTCCTACTTCTGTGTATCGCTGGACCAGGAATTGGCAGCGCGATTTGAGATTGTAATAAAGCTAAAACCAACAGAAAAACCACATCACACCAGAGCCAACAGTTAGGGCCCGCATATCCCGATTCAGTAAACCCTGTCGGGCCGGTTACGTGAAGTAAAAAAGTGAACGGTAAACTCAGAAAGTAGGTTTAAGTTCAGACAGAACCAGAATGATAGGCAAATCCCGTGAGTATTCCTTCTTGAGAGGATCGTTGAGACAGGAGTTGGTAGTGTCCCGAGGTCTTGATGGATGTAAGACGAAACACCCGAAACACCCT